TCCATCACAGGGGCTTCCACTTTCTTTCAAAGCATCAGGTATTGGGTATTACTGGAGATGGGATGTCGGAGTAATGGTGTGGCAAATCATGGTTATTATTAAACTTTTTAATGTATATAGTAAAATTAGATTTCTATTAGATATCTAATCCAGAAGCCTTAAAATTCCACCTCTTCTTATAGGACCTCATTGTTATTCAATGGATTTCACCCTGCTGGACAGGAAATTCCCGATAGGGTAGGTATAATTTTAAGACCTCAGAGCAGTATGTGTATCTTTTTGGAAAAACACAAGCCCAAATTGATTTTGAAAACAAATAGGAGATACTGTTGCACTGATGCCAGCAAAAAACAGTTTCACTGGTGTGAAAACAGTGTAAATTGGTAACATTGCTTGAGCCACGTCTCAAGGGCAGGCCTGAAACCTTCCATCTGATAGTTACACACAGATCGCTGGGAGGACGTATTTCTTAACCAAGTGCTGGGGGAGTACACTGTTGATCATCTTCATGAGCTCAGCTCCTGCCTTCAGACTGCTAATTATAAAACAGGGATATTAGGGAGTGTAAAACCAACTAGTGAAACAGCAGCAAAAAGCATTTGGTTGCATGTGCCATGGCTGAATGGAGCGGAGGACATGGATAGAACATGGACTAATTTTATCTCTGCATAACCAGACAGCACTAGCCAGGCCTGCTTGTGTGTGGCCGTATCAACACAAGTATTTCTATGGTAAAACCTTTACACTGAACTGTAACCGGGAAAGAGAAGCTAGTAGTGGCCAACCCTCTGGCCTGCTGTTCTCTATCATCTAGCCTCTGAGCCAGGCTGAAGTACCATGCTTAATATAGGCAGGACGGAGGACTTGACTTAGAAATGGACAGAAAAACCTTGCTAGACTGTCCCTCTATTGCTAACCTAAGATTCAAAGCTTCAGGAAAACACATGAGGAGGAGTGCTTCACTCAGCAACGTGCCTTGGGCCCTGCAGCCCCATATTTGCAGCTGTTAGATGGCAGGTCTGGAGGGCAGTGAACACCACTCCTTTTTAAAGGAGTATTAGAGTCCCCAGGGATCTCTGAATTATATAATATTAGGGCTGTTGATTAATGGCAGTTAACTCACACAATTAACTCAAAAAAATTAATCACAATTTAAAAAATTTAGCGCGATTAATCGCAATTTTAATCTCACTGTTAAGCAGTAGAATACCAATTGAAATTTATTTTCAAATATCTTGATTTCAATTACAACACTGAATACAAAGTGTATAGTGCTCACTTTATCATTTTGCAGTGCAAATATTTGTAATAAAAATAATAATGTAAACAAAATAAATAGTATTTTTCAATTCACCTCAGACAAGTACTGTAGTGAAATCTCTTTATCGTGAAAATGCAACTTACAAATATAGATTTTTTGTGTGACATAACTGCACTCAAAAACAAAACAATGTAAAACTTTAGCACCTACAAGTCCACTCAGTCCTACTTCTTGTTCAGCCAATCGCTAAGACAAACAAGTTTGTTTACAGTTATGGGAGAGAATGTGCTTGCTTCTCATTTACAATGTCACCAGAAAGTGAGAACAGGTATTCGCAAGGCACTTTTGTAGCTGGCATTGCAAGGTAATTACGTGCCAGATATGCTAAACATTCATATGCCCCTTCATGCTTTGGCCACCATTCTAGAGGACATATTCCATGCTGATGACTCTCGTTAAAAAACAACGTGTTAATTAAATTTTTGACTGAACTCCTTGGGGGAGAATGGTATGTCTCCTGCTGTTTTACCTGCATTATGCCATACATTTCATGTTATAGCTGTCTCGGATGATGACCCAGCATGTTTTTCATTTTAAGAACACTTTCACTGCAGATTTGACAAAACACAAAGAAGGTACCAATGTGAGATTTCTAAAGATAGCTACAGCACTGGACCCAAGGTTTAAGAATCTGAAGTGCCTTCCAAAATCTCAGAGGGATGAGGTGTGGAGCATGCTTTCAGAAGTCTTAAAAGAGCAACACTCCGATGCAGAAGCTACAGAACACGAACCACCAAAAAATAAAATCAACCTTCTGCTGGTGGCATCTGACTCAGATGAGAGAAAGTGAACATGTGTCGGTCCGCACTACTTTGGATTGTTATCGAGCAGAACCCATCATCAGTAGGGCCCTATCAAATTCACGGCCATGAAAAATGCGTCATGGACCGTGAACTCTGGTCTCCCCCTATGAAATCTGGTCTTTTAGGTGCTTTTACCCTATATTATACAGATTTCATGGGGGAGATCAGTGTTTCTCAAATTGGGGGTCCTGCCCAAGAGGGAGTTGCAGGGTGGTCACAAGGTTATTTTAGGGGGGGGTCGCGGTATTGCCACCCTTACTTCTGCACTGCCTTCAGAGCTTGGCGGCTGGAGAGTGGCGACTGTTGGCCGGATGTCCAGCTCTGAAGGCAGCGCCCTGCCAGCAGCAGCACAGAAATAAGGGTGGCAATACCATACCATGCCACCCCTCCTTCTGTGCTGCTGCCTTCAGAGCTGGGTGGTTGGAGAGTGGCAGCTGCTGACTGAGGGCCCAGCTCTGCAGGCAGCAGCGCAGAAATAAGGTTGGCAATACCATACCATGCTCCCAACCAGCAGCCGCCACTCTCCAGCCCCCCAGCTCTGGAGGCAGCGCCGCTGCCAGCAGCAGCGCAGAAGTGAGGATAGCAGTACCACAACCCTCCCCCCCCCATAATAATCTTTCAATCTCCACACAGCTCCTTTTGTGACAGGACCCCTATAATTACAACACCATGAGATTTCAGATTTAAATAGCTGAAATAATGAAATTTACTATTTTTAAAAGCCTATGACCATGAAATTGATCAAAATGGACGGTGAATTTGGTAGGGCCCTAATCGTCAGCATGGACATATGTCCTCTGGAATGGTGGTTGAAGCATAAAGGGACATATGAATCTTTAGCGGATCTTGCACATAAATATCTTGCAACCCTGGCTACAACAGTGCCATGTGAAAGCCTGTTCTCACTTTCAGGTGACATTGTAAACAAGAAGTAGGCAGCATTATCTCCTGCAAATGTAAACAAACTTGTTCGTGTGAGTGATTGGCTGAACAAGAAGTAGGACTGAGCGGACTTGCAGGCTCTAAAATTTTACATTGTTTTATTTTTGAATAACCAACAGCAGGTTTTTTTTGTACATAATTCTACATTTGTAAGTTCAACTTCCATGATAAAGAGATTGCACTACAATACTTGTATGTGGTGAACTGAAAAACACTATTTCTTTTGTTTTTTACAGCGCAAATATTTGTAATAAAAAATAAATATAAAGTGAGCACTGTACACTTTGTATTCTGTGTTGTAATTGAAATCAATATATTAGAAAATGTAGAAAACATCCAAAATATTTAAATAAATGGTGTTCTATTATTTTTTAACAGTGCGATTAATTGTGATTAATTTTTTTAATGGCTTGACCGCCCTATTTAATATATGTCCATCCTGCCCCAGAATAGCTCTGCTCCTTCAGTGCTCCTGAGACTGCACAAGGCAGGATTTGGCTCTAAGGATTTAGCAGTGCCAGTAGCTTTGATTCTCTCTGCAAAATTCTTTTGCCTCCTTCTGTTGTTAAAACTTGCGCTGAGGAAAATCCAGCAGTCGGTGATGTTTTCAGAGGAGAACATTGCAGACACTCAAGCAGAACAGCGAACGAGTCAGAAATCTGACATTATTCAGGATTGTGGTGTTGTTAAAGAAAAACCGTGCAATATACTTCAAAAAAGAAGAAGTAAACAACCATTTGGGTGGCACTGGGGAAAACAAGTCATAAAATTTATACTCAGGACTAAAAGAAAATGCAGTTGACAGACAAACAATATGCACTGTGCAGCAAGGGATAATGCAGCAATTAAATGGTGTGTAGACAAAAATAGCTGTGCTGCATTATGCAAAAGTTATTCATGTTGACAAGCCGTCCAGTGTTTGCACAAAGGGAAAAGGAACAAAGTAGGAACAATTTGATGCTGTGGCACTTCAGTCGCTTTTGCTGCAGACTTGTTTGACTGTGACATTTGTATAAAATGAAAAAATATCATCACTGGAAATATAAGCATCAACAGGTCTAACTTGGCTTCTGTTATACTTAGTAGCAACAGGGCTGTTCCCTGCTTCAGTGTACAAAGAGAACAAGTTTGTCAGGTTAGCTGTGCCCTGGCTGGCCTATCTGAGCCAGCCTATTGCAGCAGCCTAAACATGTTTCAAGGAACCACACATGGTACAAATGCCAATTGATGTAAAGAATCTAATGCTGCAGACAACATACACAATTCCTATCTAACCCACATACACACACAGGGAGTTGGGCCCAGAATGCTGACATTTATAACTCGGCATTCCTCACTTGAGCTGAAGGGAATCTCCCATAGACATCACAAGCAGCAGGTGCCTTCTCTTCCCTGTAGGCCAACCACTAGAGGTTGACCTCACACATTCATACACACACAGCAGGTTTCAGCGGCTGCCCATTGATCCCCAGCACTGTTATAGGCACAGCTACCTAGACAGCAGGAATGTACCACTGCATCACCATGTCCCTGTGCCCGGGGGTTCCCAGACTCTTTCCGTCTTGACTCCCATATCCTTTCACTTTCTGGCCACATCACAAATCATCTTTGAAAATGTGCTACTGGAACTCCCTGGTGAGTGTGTTACAGGTCCCCCCGTGCCTGATCAGCAGAGTATGTGAGTCAGTTACAGTGTCACCTAAAGAGTCTTCAGCTCAAGCTGTAACTGCTCTCACTTTTAGCTCTGGAGGCCTGTGGTTCAATCCCTAGTGTGGGGGCCAACATGGCAGCTTTCACATCAGATGGGGCTTGTCCAGGATTCCAACTGCTGTGGGCTCAGACAATTGGGATGAGATTCCCTTGATCAGAGGAAGAATATACACAGGTGAGTACGTGTTACAGATCCGATAGTTATAAAATTAACAGATACTTACAAAATGTATGCAATTACCCCAATAGACCAACAATCCACCGCTTTGCTGTAGGGTTTCTGGGCCAGCACTTCAGGAGCTGGAAAAAAAAAAAGTCATACAGCTAAACGTAATAAGACCAAAAACTGTGCGTGTTGTCAACATGTAGGACTCCACGGTCATTCATGGTACCTAGAATCCCTTGGCCAACATAAGAACATCTGTACTGGGTCAGACCAAAGGTCCATCTAGCCCAGTATTCTGTCTTCCGACAGTGGCCAATGCCAGGTGCTTCAGAGCGAATGAACAGAACAGGAGATCATCAAGTGATCCATCCCCTGTCATCCACTCCCTGCTTCTGGCAAACAGAAGCTAGAGACATTCAGAGCATGGGGTTGCATCCCTGACTATCTTTGCTAATAGCCACTGATGGACCTATCCTCCATTAACATATCTAGTTCTTTTTTTAACCCTGTTATAGCCTTCACAACATCCCCAGGCCCAATTCTGTGTAATGCTCACTATTTATTTTGGGAGCTGAGACTATCTCGACTTGTTCCCTACCTCCCAAACTCAGGTCTCATATTAGCAGGCCAAACCAGAAAGTTTTAAAGCATATTTATTGAAAGAAAACTGTGAATCCGAATGCAGAGTTAGCTCATCATCTTCCGATGGAGATTAGAGGACTGAAAACAAAAACAAACACATAAAAAAAATATAAAAAAAGACAGTCAGGGCACAGGATCATCAGCTTCCCGTCAAAAGAACTTTTGGTAATGTGAAGAAAAACAAGACAGTGTTGCACAATTGCTCAAATGTACATTTATAAGTTGCCAGCTCTGCGGCATTGTGCTATCAAATGGAAGATTTCAGGAAACAACTCAAATCGAGGGCCATGTGTCACCGAGCCGATATGCTAAATCTCCAGGAGAGGAATGAGAGCTAGACAACTGTCACCATACCTCCTACAGCCTGACTAATGAAGCATCACAGTTGTCAGAGTCAGGGGGAGCCACTTGCCCTTCTGTCTCAAGGAGCAAAGAGACCACAATAACTGAGAGAAACTAAAAGAGCTAGGAATTAGAGCACACACAAAAGAACTGAGCCTTATTTGCATTTAAAACTGTTAGCTACTATATCTCGAGTTCCTGTGGAAGATGGAGGTTGAACATTTATTCAAATGCTTGTGGGTTTTTTTTTTAAATCACTGAAACTTAAAAAGGCACATTTACCACATGAAAGTCTGGAGAATTATGTCTATGCTGGTAGCTTTCATTTGCAAATACTTAACACTGAATTTTAAACCCCATGACCTTAATCTTTTTCATGTAAAGAAGCTTTTGAATTTTCAAAGCAAAATGCCCATAGTAATGCAAAAATCATTGCTCATGATATTTATAAAGTTGACCTGCGGTGTTGGGTTTAAAAGCACAGGGTTTTCTCATGAGTACTGAGAAGTTTAAGGCCAGGTTCGGCCACAACTATTCATGTTGAGTAGTACTTTACTCTGCAGGTAATCCCACTGAAGACAATGGGGCTACTCCAAAAGAAAGGGGCCACTTAATGTGGGCAAGCAAATCACAGTCTGGCCACTTGCAGTACACAATGCAGTACATTTACAGAGTGCCCACATAAAGATTTCCTGCTGCAGAGAGCGAACAGTCTAAATAAAACAAGGCAAAGGAACCCAGGAGAAAATTTCTGGAGGAGGAGGGAGTGGAAGTTATTCATGATGAGGAGTTGCTTGGAGGAGAGTGTACAAGGAGGGATTTAAGGAGGACAAGGAACTTGGTTTCAAGCCTTCTCTCATACTGCACCCTATATAAGATACCGCCTCCTTGCTCTCACTGCAATACCTAGGGGCATGGGTGAATTCTCTATCACTTGCATTCTTTACATCAAGACTGGATATCTTTCTAAAAGATATATTATCACTGAAACAGAAGTGCAGAAATTATTGGATGAGGTTGTTTGGCCTGTGTTATGAGAAGAGGTCAAATTAGATGCCACTTCTGGCCTTAAGAGTTGTGAATCTATGAATACAGATAATAAGTCTCTGCCCCAAAGAGCTTAAAATATTACTGGAGAAATGAAGCCCTGCACCAAGAAAGCAGGGAGGGGACGAGGCAGGCAAGGATCATGAGTTCGCTTTGGTGGCTAGGCCCACATCTGGGTGGCATTTTCTTTAAATAGATGTTTTATTTTATAGGATAAATCGGATTATGATTAAGGCTGACTTTTTGCTTGGGGTTTTTTTGCTTGGTGGAGGGAGAAGTGTAGAAGGGGTAAGTATGAGTAGTGGAGGAGGAGCTAAAGGGAAAGAAGAACGGAGGAGGATGACAGAAAGGGTAGGCGAGGAAAGGGGAAGAGAAGACGAGAAACTGGCAGGGGAATGTGTGATCTGGTAGCAAATTGAATATGGGAGACAGAGGGATGAGAGGAGAACAGACAGTTCGTCAGACAGCAGGTGTAAATAAAAACAGTCCTAAAGGTATGTTGGGGGTTCCGATTGCATCTCCTTGTGGCTGGTGTGTAGTATATACATTACATGGCCCCCTGCTCCGAATTCTGCTTCTGGAAGAGTGAGGAATGCTCTAGGAGCTGGAACTTTAAGCTCTTCCCACCGCTGCTGGGGCAGCCTAGTGTCCTCAATGACTCCTGGGGAATCCAGAGTGGGGTGTGGTGTTGGAAGCTGCAGTCCAGCCTGCTGCTTCCTGGTGCCAGCACATAGCCCTTGGCTTCATGGAAATTTAAGTTGAAAACCCCTAATTCGCATCAGTGTGTAAACCTTTAGAAAATAGCAGCTCCCCAGAGTCCTTGGCAGAAGTGAGTGGGGCTTTTTGCCACAGCGTAACTCATCACATATGTTTTAATGAATTAGACCTACAGAAAGAGAGGAGTGAATTCTTCCCCACTTGTTAATTTCACTCTCCCTACCTCCATTTTCTGTCTCCGTTTCTCCACAGCCATCTGTCTTGTATTACTGCATAGCACCAACAGCCTCTATATTAATCGCAGTTCTTGCTTTCGCCCATCGGAGCAACATGAGCAACTGGTTCTCACAGCTCTCTCTGACTTGGTTCTTCAGATCACTTATCACATCAGTTTTCTTTAGAATTCCATTCCCCGAAGTGTTTCTCCCCCAGCATATTGATCATTATGAGGTTTGGTCTGACCTGGCCTGGCCTGGCCTGGGGAGGAAGGTTGGCCCACTGGTTGGGGCACTAGTCTGGGTCTTGGAAGACTTGGGTTTAATTCTTTGCCCTGCCATGGCCTTCCTGTGTGACTTGGACTAGTCACATAGTGTCTCTGTTCTTCAGTTCTCTACTCATGGGGATATTGCGAGGATAAATACATTACAGACAGTGTAGAACAGGGGTGAGCAAACTTTCTGGCCGGAGGGCTGGAACTGGCTATGGAAATTGTATGGTGGGCCAGGAATGCCTGGCGGGGGAGGGGGACTCTATGGGGTGTAGCGGAGGAGGGGTGACTCTATAAGGGATGTTACCGAGGTGGGGGTAGGGGAAACTCCTGGGGTGTGGTGCCGGGGAGGGGGGTGTCTCTACAGGGGCGGTACCGGGGACTCCTAGGGGCCATGCCAGCAGAGGCACCAAGGTGGCCGTACCAGGCACCACCATGGGCGGAGGCACCCTAGCTGGGACAAGGGTGGAGCCGTAGAAGACCGGGAAGGGACTGGGCATGCTCCTGCGTAGGGAGGGGCTGCCAGATAGGGGTGAGGTTCTGATCCTGGAAACAGTGCGGTGAAT